AATATGAATAGAAATTCTAACAAGTTTTAGTATGTGTTATACAATATGAATAGAAATTCTAACCAGTTGTAGTAGGTGTTATACAATATGAATAGAAATTCTAACCAGTTGTAGTAGGTGTTATATAATATGAATGAACATTCTTGGTCTCTTGGTCAGTTGTTATAATTGCTATTTGATATTAATGAACACTATAGTTAGAAATCATATTTATAATCCATTTTATTGTAAAGATTCTATATTAACTATAACAATTTTGATGATGTAAATGGACAACTTTAGTATACAGTATACTTTGCTGTTTTAATTGTTTAGCTTCATTTTTGATGTCTAAGACAACAAGTAATCATGAACTTAGCTTAATGTAGTACTTATTTGGTAATATAAATAGACATTATTTGCTAACTTTGATGTTTTCTTGTCTTGTACAGTCTCAACCTTATTAACAGTTATTTTTGCTACACATTTGTGACATGTTATTAATTATTCTGTACCGAAACAGACCAGTATCGAGCATATTGAAAATTTATTTTACTAAACAATTAGCAATTGGAAACTCATGTCAGGTTTTCTAGTCATTATGTGGTGTATTTTAGTTAAATTAGATATATCTATATTCAACAGAAGGGTGAGGTGAAGTGTCATCCTGTACATTGTGCTCCAGCCAATTGTAAAAACCCATTCCAAGCTCCAGGAGAGTGTTGTCCAACTTGCCTCAGTAAGTTTAAGCTAGAGATTTGTCTACTCTAGAAATTTCCTATCATTGTTTTTCCTTTTTTTAGCTCTAGTTTCTATTAATATTAGTAAATATCTTGTTTCTACTAATAACTATTTCCCCCATATTTTGAGAAAATTGTGGTGGTAGTTACAGCACACATTCCTATGAAATAAAATCTGTTACTAATAACATAGAAATAATAAGTTTATACTGTTTTTATAAATTAAAAAAAAACTTTTAATTTAAGATAGGCTTATGATAGTATCTTTCATTTTTGTTTTTTAAATAGAACGGTGCTTACTTCATGGTGTTCTTTTTGATCATGGAGAAGAGGTCAGCCCCAGAGATTGTGTGAAATGTGAATGTAAGGTAATGAAATAAAACTAGACCTTAAATTTCCATTTCAAATGCTTGTATTGATGACAGTTTTTGTATTCAAGACTTAAATTGAAGAGAGAGTTATTTTGAAAATTCACTTATGAATATGCAACTACTTTATTATGTAATTTGTTCTGAAAAATTTAGTATATATTTTTTTCAAATAACAGTCTGTTTATGTAAGTGCAAGAATATATTTGACCTTGCATTTTTAGTGATGTTATTAGAAGTACCTCTATGTCTTTTTTTTTCTTAATTATGAAATCATAATTGCTCATTGCAGATAAGTTAGTCAATGTTTTAATCATTCAGATATTTACAAACTGTAGGAAATTATCAACGGCAATAAAACCAAACATTTCAAGCAAATTTTATTTCTGAATTAGTTCATCATCAATTTTTCACAAACAATTCTATGTTTTAAATTGAAGCTACAAAGGATTATTCACATAATTTTAAGTTTTTTTTTTTTCTAAGAGTAGAAATTTAACCTAATTTATATGCTGTAAATGAAAATTGGTGTTAAAGGTTTATATAGAAAAAACTTTCACAGAGAATTATAGTCCTAAACAGACTTTACATCCATTTTCTGGGTTAGACCATTAACATTTGTTTAATTAAAAATCTGCAACTTTGGGTTTTTCTCATACAGAATGGAAACATGGAATGTGACAAAATTGACCCAGACACATTTTGTTCACCACTCACATGTCCTGAAGAAGAACAGTTTAGTGTTCCTGGGGAATGTTGTAGGTTTTGTCCAGGTACTTCTGCATTTTGTTAAATTACCTTGAATTGTAGTAATAGTAAAGATTATAATTCTTCTTCATAAAATTACAGTTATCACATGCATTACCAACAGTATGCTTAAATTACTTTGTAATGAAAACTACAGGTATATTTCAACTATTTCTAGAAGTCACATCATTCACATTTTGTGCAATAAGCACCTTCAACAAGATTAAAAAAATGAAAAATGACATTCTTAATGCTGTATATGAATATATTTGAATTCAACAGAATGAAAAAGAAGCAAACCTTTTGAGTTATGATAATGATAATTTTACTGATTGAAAATTACAAGTTATAAATGGGCACTTAAAGAAAGTGTTTTTATGCAAAGTGGCACAAGATGAATAAAATGAAGTAAAATATAATTATCCGAAGTCAGTAGAATAATAAATCCATTTTCTTAAGCTCAAGTATCATTTTCACAAATGCATATCATAAATTCATAAAATTTAAAAAAGACAAAAAAGGAGCTTATTAGTCCATCAAGGAAGTCCCTTTGAGCTCCCAATTATAATCATCCTTACTACTCATGTATTCATCCAATCTTTTCTTGAACTCAGTTAAATTTTCTGCCTCCACCACCCTTGAAGGCAGCTCATTCCAAAATCCAACCACCCTGTCTGAAAAGTAATACTGTCTAAATCTAAATAATAAAGAAGTGCTTTCTGAAATAACAAATTATTTATATTATATATATATATATATGGAGTATTGTAATGTTTATATAATTTATAAACCTTCTCTAAGATTTGATTAATCATAGCTGTTGAAATATAAAGTGAAAGCTTCAACTTTTTGGTGCATCATTTTATTTAAACAATTCACATGTAATTATGTCTATATGTTATCATTGACTTTATGACTAAAGCAGTGAAATTTTTTGAATTCTATGATTTCCTTTGTTTAGTATTACCATTAGCTGTAAAAAATTGCTGGTGCTGTCACTGAAATTTTTAAGTTTTTTTTTCTTTTTGGTCTTCTTTTAGGAATAGACTTTTGTGCAAAGGGGCATGACTGTCATATTAATGCTTCTTGTGTTAACCTTCAGACTCGTTATACTTGTCACTGTGACACTGGTTTTCATGGGGATGGGAACCACTGTGAAGGTGAGTTTACAAAATATAGGTCTAATTTAATATGTATATTGAAGAAGATTACGAGATAAATGCAGTCAATTAAAGTAGATGTATATTTTTTCTTTGTATTAAATATATATTTTTACGTCTCCGTTTGTTAATTGATTTTCCGTAACTTCGTTCCTACGAAACTTTAGCGACACAAGTCCTTACTTAATAAAACTGGTTTATTCTTTCTGAATATAACTTTACCGATACACTTATTTTCAACAGTCACTCTATAGCAAACGTTTTAACAACGAACGTTAACTTCAACAATACTTTCTGACTGCAGTGCAATTACTCACTACCTACACACATTGTCATGTAACGTTGTGAGCGTCTTATATATATACCAGACTAACATATAACTAGTAAATGCTAGGGCATTCACGAAGGAACAGGATAGTTCTAGAAATGTGGCGTGACACTAGTCACGTGACCTCGCTGACGCAACAATATATATAATCAGATATATATGATGCATTTTACATTTTTCCTGATGAAGTCCTGCAGGTGATTTACTTGATAAGTTGACTGTTGTGAAATATCCACCATGTAAGAAAATAAATGTCTGGTTTGCTTTATTATTCTTTTTGATATATATGTGTGTGTAGTATGACAATTGTTAATAATATCTCGGGTGCATCTTTATTGTATGTTTGTATTGTTAGTAATTAATAAGGTATACTTATTTAGTTATACTCATCATAAGGTTGATTTTTAGTTTTGACATAAGTAGATAGCTTGCTTCAATGAGAAGTTCATATTAATTTGTTCCTGTTGATATAAATCTATCAGATTGATGTTTTGGCTTCTTCTTCAATAGATGTGGATGAATGCCAGAAAGAAGGAGACCATAATGGACATCACTGCCACAAAAATACTCATTGTATTAATGTCCCTGGATCATATATCTGTGAATGTCTACCAGGATATCGGCGGATGGATGCCTTTAGCTGTGCTGGTCTGTCTCCTAACTTTTGGTTCTTATTTTCACGGGCTTATTTTTGTTGTTTTTTTTTATGTGAAACAACAATTTCATAACCTGAAGCAAAGATGAAATGAGTCTAGACTATCTTTATCATACTTTGACTTCCAAAGATAGGGATTACTATAGTTTGACTTCCAAAGATAGGGATTACTATAGTTTGACTTCCAAAGATAGGGATCATTTTGTTTGGAACTAAGTGTGAAGACTCAGTATTAAGAAATGAATACTGACTGGATATTGTTTATTCCATGTTATAACTATATACTCAGTAAAAAAAGAAATTAACTAGCAAAAAAAATGTGGAATGTCAGCCAACAGAAGGAAACACACTAAATTGATAAAGGTCAAGTGCTTATTTTTTCAAACTTACTGTAATATCCTTTTTAGAAAATTCCAATGCTCACTGATTAGGAGAAAATTATTACATGTAACTTAATTTTTTTTTTATATTTTGACGGAAGATTGGCTGGAAATCACTATTAACAAGAGAAATGTTTGCATTAAAAGCTTTAAAGTTCTGAACTTAGTGTGCAAATACTTGTTAATCAATTTAATGATGCTATATCTATGATATATATATGTGTGTGTGTGTGTGTGTGTGTATTGCATGATGTTATACTTCAAATGCAGAATGGGATGTTATATTTATTTTATGGTAAGTTTTAAAATATATTTACATTTTGAAGCTGCAGCACACAGATACAAATGATTTATATATATATTATGCCTTTACAACATTTTGTAGAAAATTCCATGAGAAAGAAGTTCAGATAGTTATTCACCTTAAAAAAGAATTATAGGTTTTATTTACTTGTGTTTGTCAAAAAGAGCACATTTTGAAGTATTAGCATAGATCTTTATCAGGTTAACTTATGTAAGTTATTAAAGGTTGACTGTTTCTTTTTATAATTCAGTTTCACTGACCTTAAAAAGATCTCATTTATCAGTTTGAAACATTATTTTTAACAGTGAATAATACAAGAGGATGAAACTTATTGTACTTTCCATAATTTCATTGCTATTACTACTTGATATTGTTTCATAAATGAATGCAATGTTTATATATTTGGGAACAACACCGTAAGAATGTTGTGTGATCAGTTACCGCCAAATGTGTAGAAATAGGATATACACGTTAACTGGCAATTATATTATCTAGATGTGTTTATTTTACACTTTTCTCGACAGGTTTCTAGTTAAATTGCCAATTTTTATGATTAGCAAAACTTTATGTGCATCCAATGATTCTGAGAGGATGGAATCACAGTGCAATTATAGTTAATTGGTAACTGTTGTATATTTTTATTATTAATTGTGTTTAACTTATTTCTCATGAAGCATAATTATTACAACCTGATTCATATAAGTTAAATCATACTTAATCAAATAAAATTTAATGACTGAGGTAATTACAATCTGATTACTCGCACTATTTACTGTGTATATTTTTGTGGGAAAAAATCTTAAACTAGAACTTCAGTAACTAATAATGCTTGAATCATTTAGAACATGATGAATGCACCACAAAAGATCATGAGTGTGACCAACATTCAGTGTGTTTAAACACGGAAGGAAGCTACAAATGTGAGTGTATAGAAGGATATCAGGGAGATGGATATACTTGTAAACGTAAGTACATTAGCCTAGTATTCCCAGATACAGAGAGTTGATATTAAGCTTAGAATATTAATCATTATGCATCAGATGAAACGTTAATTTTATGAACTTGTAGATTAAGGTAGGAGTGATTATATTTTTGATGTCTCTTCAGAGCACTTCATATTCAAAACCCTTTTATTTTCAGCTTTATGTAATCAAACCTGCCTAAATGGAGGCAATTGTGTGGCACCTAATATTTGTTCCTGTCGTCGAGGGTTCACAGGACCCAATTGTGAAATAGGTAAGTGTAGAAAAAATGGCCGAGGTTACTAGAATGCTGCACTTCATTCACTCAGTCACAGAAGATAGGTGAAAGTATGTGCTGTATTACTCCCAAAGTGGGTATTAACATGTAAACTGTCAAAGTGAACATAAGTTACTTATTCACACCCTGAATGACATAATAGGTATGATATCTCATGTAAATATTTTGAGTTCTGAGGTAGTCAAAAATGTAAGTTAGATTAACACCTTGATTGAGTACTGGTGCATTGAGTATTGAGGTTGTGGTGATTCACATATCAGTTGATGTCATTTAAACAATTATGACCTAAGTCTATTTACCCATTAGTTAATATTCTATGCTGGTATAATCTGCTCCTGTCTTTAAGGGAGTCCTGAGAAGGACTGGACTGTTTGTGGTGACAGGAGCCAGTATTCCATCCTGGGTCTTCTTGTTAGAAATTCAGTTATGTTATACATTCACTAGGCTCCCACTTGCCTTTCAATAGGAAGTCAAGTAGAGTGAATATCAAATTCAGGCTCCTGCTGCCATATACGGTCCTTCTCGACCTTCCATGTAAAAGGCTGCAGACTAGCATCTTAAACATAGGATATAGATTAATTGGTAATTAATATTAACAATTTTAAAACTTATAACAGAATACTAATTGGACTTACATGTTTGCATAGGTTGTTAACAATGACAGTGAGCAACTTGAGTGCCAGTATAAGTACTAACTACTTTAGGATTCATCAGGAGACTCTGATGGAACATATTTTGTAGATTTAATAGCAGGTTATGTTATGAGCTCAATAAATGTGAATATTGATCTCAGTGATAATCATTGCTAAAGTACAAGTGTGATAATGAATTTGTCCACACAGAATATGACAATATTAGATTCAGGTAGTAGCATAAATATTAACACAGTTATTTTAATCCATTTACTTGACCATGCTGACTAGTTGACCTGAAATTTACAATTAGCTTGAATCTAGTGGCATGTTCACCTAATATTAACCTTTACACACCGGCATTTAATGTGAAATTTAATCATTTAAAAACTTCACGTTTTTCATATAACACTTCAATAATGGTTATTCTTATGGCTTTATTGTACTAAATATATGATTTTTGTAAAATCTTTTTAAGATGGTAAATATTTATATTATTTTTTAATGAACCAATAAGATTTATATAAGTGCAAATGGTATATATAAAATGTAAATAATTTTTAAAGGAAATTTTGATATATAATATTGATAAAAAGAAAAGTAAATGCACAATATTTTACATGATTTACAATTATGTGTTTGGTACAATTTGTCTATACAGTTTTGTTTGTTTTAGAATTTTCATGCAAAGCTACACAAGGGCTAACTGCACAAAACCACTTATAAATTTGAACTGATAAGTTAGAGGGATGGAAGTTAGTTATCCAGCACACACCATCAAATCTTTAGGTACTATTATCTGAGCAAAGAGTGGGATTTTACATACCCTCTCTAATATATTGCTCCATACTGTGGAATGTGTTTTTAAGGCAATGGAACACAAACCATGTACCTTCAGATTCACAATATGGGCACAGTTATTACTAGACCTCACCCAGTGCTGTCTATATCAAAATGCTTTGACTTTGCCAAGAAATGTCTCACAAATAACAAAGATTCTTCTAAATTCCTTTGAAGTGATGTGACTTAGAATATGCATCATTCTGTACTACCAATATTTCTTCAGTTTATTTGTTTCTTGTAGATGTGGATGAATGTAGTTTGGGTCTTCACCAGTGTCATCCTAACTCACAATGTGTCAACATGCCAGGATGGTACTACTGTGACTGTCTTCCTGGATACCAAAGCTATCTGGTAGATAACAATCTTGGGATTATGTGCCAAGGTAGGGCTGTTACGTAAGGTTATGTTAGTGTGATTTTATAGAAACATCTTCTATACATTATTAGTAGATGACTCACTAAGCTGTCACACCAGAATATTTTGTCCTTATACTAAGATGCCGATCAACCTAGATTAGAGGTTGAATTAATACTTTTAACATTAGTGATAATGCAGGCTTTTTTCATAAACAACTGTATCAATTTTTAATATACTAAAGATTGTTTGAAATTTAATGCCACGAAAATTGTATTACTCTAAAAAGCTTTCAGTTCAGGTTTACTTTTTCGTAACTTAATTGAATGATTATGTACTTTTGCTCTATGGTCTCTTAAAATAATGTTTAAGCTCATTAATTTTACATATGAACAATAACTCACTTTATTTTTAGGATTTGGAAAGTTAGTTTTATTGTAGTTCATTTTCATTCATTTGTATTATTTCATATTTATTCATATACTGTATCAAACTCTTTTTTTGTTAAACATAGGTCATTAAAAAAAAGGAGTAAAATAGGGTTCAACATTTGAATAAATTTCTCTCAACTTTTGGTCAAATTTGTTCAGGAAAATAAAACATAGGGAGAAAAATGACACTCTTAAAAGCTTTTTTACAAAATCCTTAATTGTTTGTAATAAAATTATACAGTACGGCTTATATGTTGGCTGGAATGGGCAGGCCAGGACCCCATCTCTAATGTAGAGAGGAAAAAGGACACCTACTTTGCCCACCTCGTAAATTGGTTTATACAATGTCCACAACTTCAGTTGAGTTTTCGGTTCAAAATGATGACATTATAAACAGATAATAATTCTAAAATGAATTTGGTAGTTTGAGATGAAGGAGATTAAGGTTAAAAAATAGAAAATTGTAAAAGTTAGTTATTAAACTGCTTATTTTCATGTTAATTTTGATTGTGTTTTATTCTTTGATTTCCATCATATCTTAGACCCCCCACTACATCAGAATAAGATAAATGATAAAAATTTTCTATAGAAGAATGCTTTCCCCCCAGTTTCCATTACTCCCTCACACACACAGACAACTTGCTTATGACACATATCTGGGGGTCTAGAAAGTTTCAATTCACATGTACATTTGCACATAAATATATGATTATCTGTTAGAAAATATTAATGTGAAAATTTTACATGCCTCATTTTTCCAAATATATTTATTCTTCTTGCTGAATTATAAAATTCAATTTCTCATTACTTGTTAAACTTTTTTTTTTTATATGGACACAGATTTTTACTTGACTTCTCATTTATTCTGTGCAAATATGGAAAGTAAATTTGTAATTTATACAATACCAATTTTCATACTTTATTCAGTGTTTCAAGAAGCATTTAAAGCCAGTCCTTTGTTTCATGCTTTACATATAAAAAGATGTTTGTTTCATTACACCATAGGGACAGAGTTCTGAGAGTTCTGCAGAAAATCGTGTGTAATAATCATGCAACTGAATTATAGATTCTCCATTACCTGTGGTTTTGAGACATTTATACTTTTAACATAGTCTCCATTTCATGGGTGTTTGGCAACAAAGTTATAACAGTTGATATTTTCTTTTAATTAAGATATTGATGAATGCTTTCTGGACTCTCACACCTGCCACAGTACGGCTATTTGTATCAATGAAGATGGTGGATTTAGATGTGAATGTAATGACAATACCACCTGTTCTTTAGGTAAGTAACAGTTTGAAGTTGTGTTTAGTTGCTATAGAACATTCTTAACTCAATGCAAAAAGATCAAATAGTTACTGAAATAATGTTGCCTGCTTTATTTTGGTTGTGTTTTTTATACTTGTACTCTTCAATCTGAGATCATTAAATATAACATTAAATCCACTTTTTACTCCAATTTCCATAGGCAAGTTAAGGAATCATGTACTTACAAAAATATGTTAATCTTAAAATTATATTACATTTCACAACCCAAATTTCTGTTTTTAAAAGTTTGAATGGTGTGTCAACATGAATATGTGATAGCAAGTTTTCCCACATACATTTGTGTAGTTTAAATAATACATATGTTGCAAAATCAAACTCATTAAAAAATTTTATTTTGCAATTTTTGAGCAAATGCTCTTTGTCAAACTTTAAGACTGTAAATTTTAGTAGTATCAACTTTATGCTTGTATGCATTTATTTAACCAGTTTGTTTAAAGTTTCACAGCATATCACTCTCTAACAGGTTGTATACATCATGGGACAGAGAGAGCTAATGGAGACACCTGGTTTTCTGAGAATGATGCATGTTCTCGGTGCACATGTACAAATGGCGTAGTTAGCTGCAACAAGCTAGAGTGTAACTGTAACAAGCCTGATATAAATTTAGACTGCTGTCCACAGTGTGACCAATCCTCGTACTGTCAACACCAGGAGGTTGCCAGAAAATTTAGTAATGGTGAACAGTGGATTTATCAGTGTCAAGTGTGTGAATGCTTAGTAAGTTGATTCATTCTTGACACTGTTTTCTGTGCCACAAGCTTTGGGTGCTTACTTAGATAATTATAAGCACCTGATTAATTATAATATTGATTTGTTTTACTTCATTTTATTATTTTTATAGCATCATTTTGATCATTATCTGATATAATAGTTTTTTATTATGTTTGATAACATTTATAGATTAATTCACACCTGGTCATGATATGTAATGTCCTTATCCAACAGGAGAAATACTTTTTATAATATAATATATATCTTAGTTCAGTGGTACTAATTTAGCTGTGTTAAAGACATTAAAGTTATATAGAAAGTTGGTTGAAAGATGTGATCCATCTCAGGTCCTTTGTAATACTGAAAAATTTCATAAACTCTACACTCTTACTGACCCAACATGAGTTTGCAATGCTTAAACTTGAATTTGCCAAGTTAAACCTATCATGCACCATGTCTTTCACATCCATTTCTTTACTTACATTCTACAAAGTAAGCTATTTTGTTGGTTGATATGCTGCTGTTAATTTAACATCAGTATTTGTAATATATGTAGTTAGTTAGCTTTTCTCTTTGAAGTAATGTAAAACAATTCTGATTTATCAGTGCTTGAATAGTAAAATTTAAAGTTTCTTATTATTTGAAAACGATTTATTATGTCAGTATGGAGAAGTAGATTGCTGGCCAATAGAATGCCCACCGGTCATGTGTGAAAAACCAACTCGACAGCCTGGTGACTGCTGTCATCGTTGCGAAGGTGATCCCTGCAACTCCCAGACTTTCACTAGTGATGAGGTCAGTGGCAATATTACTTCAAACCTTCAAGCTGGCCGTGGGTGTTTCTACAGAGGTCTTATGTATCGCTATGGGGATCGTGTCCCTGTTAGCGAAGATCCATGTACATCCTGTAATTGTAAGGTAGATACTTCATCTTTTTTAGTATGTATTTAATGCTATAACTGTAATTTGGGTAAGTGAGGTGTAATGCAAATCCTATGATACATTCATTCTCTTATAGCACCTTAACCATAGATGTGATTTTCCTATTTAGTAAGATTGTAAAATTAGCTCATAAATTGTGACATTAAGTGTTTATTTTGAAAGAATAAATTACAATATTTGGGTCACAGGTAATATGGATACTTACTCAGTGAGAGACAGCCAGGATGGGAAATTGTCTAGTTGAATAATTTCCTCTGGACTCTTTATTTTCCTACCTTCTGTCTGTCTAGTTTAAAGACAATGATTTGAGTCCTGTACTTACCTGATGAAGGACTTAGTGCAGAGTCTGGAACATCATCTGCAAGCTAGACAGAAAGCTGAAGCAATCCATAGAAAACTATTCAACATGTCAACACACTGCTACTAGGAGGGCTACTAAGATGATAACTGAGATGGTTTGTTTTTCCTGAGAGCAAAGCCACATTGGGCTATCTGCTATGTCCACTGCGGGGAATTGAACCCCGGATTTTACCATTGTAAGTCCATAGACTTACTGCTTCCCCACTGGGGGACAACTGGAATGGAAACGTTGTCATATGAGGACAGATTAAAATCTCTGAAATTGTTTGCTCTTGGAAAAAGAAGAGTTAACGGGATCTTATTGAGTTTATTAAGATCGTTACGAGGGAATTGATGGTGTTGATGCATCATACTTAATAGGGAGAATAGTAGGACCAGGGGTCTTGTATATATTTTAGCAGAGTAGGAGTCATCTTCAGCTAATACAGTTTTATTTTTTCTAAAAATATTTGATTTTTGGAATGAGTTGCAGTAAATTTAAGTGCATTTAAAGGAAAGCCTCATAAATATTTAAGTGATAAGGTGTGATTTGTAGTTTCTTTTAAGTTTAGTAGATGGGACAGTTTCAATGGACCAACAAGCCCTGATGTCGTTAAATGTTAAGTAATGCCTAAAACTTTCTCTAAAAAGGAAGTTGTTCAATTAAGACTTTGAGTCCCAGTAGTCGAATTGGTAAGTCATTGACCACAGAATGCTAAGGTGAGCTGAGGGCTGTAGATTCAAGTCATAGTTCTCACTAGTGATGATTCTAGCCCTGAGGACCATTCAAGATATTTAGTTGGTAATGAAAACTATCTATGTACATATATGGATCAGAGTTTGGTCTATATAGTATAATGTGCAAGTTATTAAGTTGCTGGGTTAAGCTTTTGAAACTATATGTGTTGTTAGTATCAGGATGTGTTATGTGCAGCATAACGAATAAAGTGCTATTAACTCTGGCTTGACCAAAGTTTAAATTAGGATCACTGGCTCAGATAAGTGCTCTGAGACTAATACCTGTGTTTGAAAAGTTCTAGTCCCAGATAGATGGCACTCCTCCTGATTGTGATAACATCATCAAATATATTTCAGTAAGGCAATTAACATTCATCAGCAGAAATTAATATATGAAATATATAAGTATCCAAAAATGTTTAAGTTAGATAGTGATTAATTGTAATGTCATGATTTACTGTGGCTTTCTCTAATATATCATTCAGCTGTACACTAAAACTATGTACATTTTTTAAGCTAAGTTACTGGGTATGTAAGCTTGTAAAGAATAATTATGTTTTGGACAATTATAGATATCAAGTTGGAACTTTGTAAACTTAAGAGGAACAGAAGATGCTACATGATACTTTTCTCATTTGACTTGGCTTCTTTATCATTTCTTAGTTTGTAACATGTTATTTATTCAACATGTAACATGTTACTTATTTCATGAATCGTATCTGTTTATACTGAATTTTTTTAAGTTACCCACAGAAGTGTTTTATTCAAATACTTTAAAAATTTCTGTTCATAAGTGTTTGTATACTGACATTCTTTAGCATGAAAAAAGATTATAATTTTTATTTAATTGAAAGGTTTGTTATGGATTTTGGAAAACGTATAAAAATTGTAATCTATCCTAAAATGTTAAATATGTGTATCCTCTTGAAATGGAAAAAATTTTGAAAACACATTTCAATACATAAATTTATTATGGATACAAAAAGTTGTTGATACTTTAGTTGCTAACCAACTAAATGTACTTTTGCATAATCTTTGTTCAATAACATTGCTACTCAGTGTTTCCTTTTCTTTTCTTTTTCTAACAAGTTTATACTATGTTTGTGAAATTAGAAGAATGTTTTAACATGGCTATACTTTTTGTGTTTGTTTTCTTCTTGTTGTGTTATTGAATTTCAGGAGTTCTTAAATTCTTATTGTCTAATTTCTGACATGCAGATGCAATGCAATTATATACCCAAGTAGGAAAAGCACTTTTCATGATTATTGATCTAACTATACATCCAATTAGGAAAAGCACTTTTTTCGAGATCATAGATGTAACTATACATCTAATTAGGAAAAGTACTATTTCAAGATTAGCTATGTCTTGTTTAGATTTCATGAAAATGCATATATTTTTGCCAGAATATTGTGGTGGAACCTTATAAACATTACCTTAACAAGTTACAAATTTACTTGCAAATTTTTTTAAATAATTTAACTTAAAGTTACAAAAACAAAACAAGATCTGGTAGCAATAATTAGTATTATTTTATTTATCTGTGAATCTAATAAATTCAACTATTACTAAGCTATTTTGCATTATGTAACTGTAAGTAACAGAGTTAATTAGTGATAAATCACTTTAATTGTGTCTTTTTTGGAGTTTGATAAGTGGAGGAAAGAAAAAAAAGGGAGCTTGCAATTTTAAAATTTAATTTTGAACTTTTCTATGGTAATGTAATTTTTAAATCAAATTAATAAACTCAATAGCAGTATTAAGAACTTTTAATGATCTGCTTAAAGCATTTTGTTTATCTTAAATAAATACTTATTATGTAGCTATTACCATGTTTTATTTTTGAATGGTGGATCGAAAACAGTTTCATAAAGTATCCATTTACTCTTTCCCTCTTTTAATCAGCTTCAGATAGTTGAAATCAAATTTTTATGTGTGTGTGTGTGTATTTGTACAATATTTTTATACAAAAAGTTTCTACTAATTGTTAAAAAAATTCTTCACAACTACCTTATTACAGGTTCCACACTGTGAACACTCTGTGAGAAATAGGGGTTATAGTTTCCATCGGTAAAAAGAAAATTTTGTATTTCACAGATGTATGCACCTGAGGAAGCACTGCTAGTTTTATTTTTTATTCATCTTGATATTAGTGTTCCACTGAACAAACCCAACTAGTAACCACTGGAGCTGTAGATTTTTGCTTGATTAAAAAAAGAAATCCTTTATATTGATTACAACCAGTATATGCTGTCATGTTTGTTATGGAAATATCTTACTGAGCAAATAAGAAGACTGGCAGTTTTTTTATACCTTCTTTTCAGGAACAGGTTTTCATGGTTAGAACCATTGGTAAGGGTTGAAAAAATAAAGAGGTTGCTATAATCAATAAATATTCACAAATGTACCCATAATAAGAGAATGAGATGAATAGGAGTTTTAACAAGATATCAAGCCTACACTAATCATGTTTAATGCATGTATATGCTGATTGGTCATGTGCAGCTTGTGACTCATCCTCTTGCTCATGAGGAGAAAGTTTCACTCCATTATTTATTTGAAAATTAAATATAATTTATACATAAGTATATAGTTTCAATGCAAAATAAATTGTAAAAATAACTATCCATAATTTAAATGAAAAATAATGATCCACAAATTACAGCATCCAACATCAAATTTAATTATTGCATTGCAAGATCTAATTAGTATCATATTATGCAGGGATAAAGAATGTATCTTAGACTTCAGCCACAATTTTTGTAGCCATGGCTTTTTCACAGAACATGAATAACATGTCAGCTTTATATTGTTTTTTTTTTTCCTAAATAGTGTAACTACTGTTGATAAATATTTCAATTGAAAACTGTAAAATTCAAAGAGGGCAAAACGCATAGACAGATGATAAAATAAACAAGTATTATATTTTGGCAAAGAAAAACTACATCATCTGAAAATGATGAGTACAAAAAAAATTGAAATAATGAAGAAAGATAATTTGTTTTCTCTTCTTGAGCCATTAATTTAAAAATGTGTTGAAATTTAAGCACTTTATTCTCAGTATTAAGCATTGTATTTAAGTTTATAAATATTCAAAATTCATTTTTAATGTTTTACCATTTTCACTTCTGCATAGATACACAGCATAATATCATCATTTGTTTGGGACCAATAGTGCATTATCTAGTCAAAAATTATAAATAAAATTTATGAAAATAGAATGGTTATGTAATGAAGTAAAATAAAGAATTATACTTAGTGGAAGTTGAACACTTTCAGTTACCTTGGTTGATTTAAGAAGTTCTAGAAAATTGTGGAACACTATATCAAAGTGAACGTTTTTTGTTTTCAGCACTTTTTGTTGTGTTATAAAACCATAAGGCATGACTGTTTTATGTTATAATGTGTTTTAGTTTATATCATGCATGGCATGCTTCATGTTTTTAACGCTTGGGAGTTGTGATAATATATTATTAGAAAGAGATTAGTTCCTCACATTCATGTGTTAAAACATGATAATAACTAGCAGGTACAATAGATAGATTTTTGTGGTTACCTGAGAAAAATGAATATTAAAAAAAGTGTGAAAGGGTTTACACGTCCCATGGCTACTGTTTTTCATGTTGTATACCCTTTGCTCTAGATGGCCCTATCTTTAGGAGTATAGAATCATCTCACAATGCGTGTGTCATCATTCGATAAGATTATCAACAGGTTTTTTGCCTTTTTAATGAAAAACTTTGATAACACATAATAAAATCTATTCCTCATTACAAATTGTATGCAGGTAATTATTGAAACTAAAGATAATAGACTTTGCATACTTACATGCAGTCCAGATAAATTTTTTTTATTCCTAAAATATGCACTGTATTGAACATCATGTAATTTTTTTGAAACTGTGATCACAAAAATTTACAAAGTGTTTTTCAAAATAATTTCATTTTCTGGTAATATATGATCAGAACTCCCTGAATTGATTGACGTGCTTGTTTTATATGTTGAATTGCACCTTGTTCTCACATTCTGTATATTTTTTGTTTGAATTTGGCCTTTTAGAATCTTGTTTTATCTTATTACCGAGCATAGTTGTATTTAAGCCACAAGTGGTTTTGATGAACATCATCTGTTGATAGGCATTTATAGAAATTGCTAGCAAAAAAAAAGTTACATTTTAACAACTTCATCTTCTATAAATTTTGTTGTATGGAAGAATTATAAGAAAAGTATTTGATATAACATTACTATTTGTTCGGTACAAGGAAAACATACACGAATAATGTAAATGATAGTCTAGGTGAACAAGTTTTGACTAAGCCTTTATATGAAGGTTCTTGTTTTAGTTATCAATACCGGTTATAGAAAATACTAATAATGCCTATCAGCAATTGATGTTAGTTGTTTTGCTTGTTCCATTGATGTTTTGAAAAAATAACTTTCAAAAAAGGCACTTAGTGTTGACCAGTACTGCCTACACTCTATTAATATATTGAAACATTGCAGTAGTTAAAACTTTGGGATCCAACTAAGTATACTTTAATGGCATAAGCCACTTCTTGTTATGGTGCATGTATTTATAAGCTCTGTGTTATTACTTTAAGAACTTGTGGATGGTTCACGATTACTTTGATGATCTATGTAACCATGATATAAGCCACTTCTGTGAACCATCCACAAGTTCTTAAAGTAATAACACAGAGCTTATAAATACATGCACCATAACAGATTACTTTGATGATCTATGTAATCATGATAAAAGCCACTTCTGTGAACCATCCACAAGTTCTTAAAGTAATAACACAGAGTTTATAAATACATGCACCATAACAGATTACTTTGATGATCTATGTAACCATGATATAAGCCACTTATGTGAACCATCCACAAGTTCTTAAAGTAATAACACAGAGCTTATAAATACATGCACCATAACAGATTACTTTGATGATCTATGTAATCATGATAAAAGCCACTTCTGTGAACCATCCATACTAAAATAATTCTACCAATCTACTGATTTTTCTTTATAAATCTAGCAATTATACAATTATTATGATATGAAAGTACACCATAAATCAGTAGGTATTATAGATTTCTTTCCTGAATAAATTGAAATAATAGAACTTTAAAGCTTTCTCCGAAATAAACATCAATAAGGCATTTATTTTTCTTCATTTATAAAAGCTTACGTACTCTGTAACCAAGCAACAATTTTTTCATTTCTCATTAAGTGCCTTTTTTTGAATATTTACATAATGAAATGAGTATTTTCATTACTCATGTAAAGATGATCCATTTCAACTAACTGAATATAACCCCTAATAATTTAACATAATACTTTGTTAAAAAGAAAAAGCTGAGGAGGAACCATTAAGAAATATTGATTTTATTTACTAGCTACATATTAGACAGTATTTAAAAGATATAAACTAACTAATAAACAAAAACATTTGTGTATGTAAGCACTTTAGCCACTTGTGTCGTTTACTAAAATTCTAACGGTTTATTAACATACTAAATATTAAAGACATCTATGATTAATAAAAAAATGCCTTAAGAAGTTTTTGCTTGTAATTCTTAGTAGCTTTATAATTTATGATATTAATTCTCTTTTTAATGCTTTATCAACAGAATGGACAACTTTGCTGCACATATACTCCTTCTTGTAGCAACAACACTGTCCACTCTGATTTTTTCAAATATAAGGACTTGCATGATAATCTTAAGCAAAGAATCTTTCCAAGTAACACAGTGGCGGACTTGCATGATTTCTCAAAACCGGATCTTGAGATCTTTGGAGACCAAGAGGGATCATCAGAAGGACCATTGTCCAGTTCACCAGAGCACAGCACTATGGAAGGGAGGATTGCTTTGGTGGAAGAGCACCTCACGGAGTCTTCATTAGAAAATCTTGCCACTGGTGTTATAGAAGATATTCTCCCAACTTTTCAATGGTCCAGTATTGAGAGTGGGAAAAATTTTGGAAGTTCAGAGTTAGCTACCTCAGCAACAGAGTCTTCTTCAGCTGCTGATGATGAAAGCTGAGAAATAGAGAGGCCTCAAGATTTTTACAAGAAAGAAAAGCTTACTAGCAGATCTTTTAAGTTTATGTTTTCTTTATTCTTCTTAAAAACTTGATAAATTCACAGTTAGCTACCTCAGCAACAGTGTTCTTCTAACGGTGCTGATGATAAATGCTGTAAAATGTTCATCAATGAGCTCAAAGATGACTACAATATAATAAAATTAACAGCATGTCAGCAGCCCAAATATTTTCAATTGGCATTCTTTGATTTTGCAAGAAGAATTTCAAAAATTATTTAAAAAATAAAAGTATTTTATGTTTTAGCCTGTCTTCTCAAGTTTGGGATCACAGAGAAGCTTGATTTGAATGACTGCCTTAAACAAAAAATGTGGACCAGAAGATGAGCTTGTGAAGGTGTTCTTTTGGGTCCACCACGACAGTCAGTTTTTAAAAGAACAGTATTGTACTTTATAAATAGTGTGCCATTCAAGATCCTCATCTTGTGTGCATTATAAGCTTTCACTTGTTAAGAGACCCATTTTGTCTGAAGGGGACTGTTTTCATACAGTTTACAAATGTATGACATGTGCTGGTTTTGTACATGTGTGTAAATGTGCTAGCGTTAACAACTACTCTGTACATAAATCACATGATGGCTATACTCTGTTGTACCTAATTATTTATTGCTTTGAAACAGAAATGTATTATATGCTTGTTAGTTAAATGAAAGTCATGTTATTGTAAATTATGTTATATTTTAGTGTATAGATGCAAGTAGAATTTTAAAGTTGAAAAGCATAAGATTGGATTGTACTTTGTTGTACTTTGAGAAATGAATACTGCACATAACTGCCAAAAAAAAAAAAAGAAAAAGAATCAAATGAAAATCAAAAGTTGCCTCAGTATTTTTGGAAAGAGTGATTCGAGTATGAATATATATGATCTAAATGACTGTTTTCTGAAACAGTGAAGATGTTATTTTGATCCAAAGTCTCTACTAGTCATAAATATGTTTCATTAGTTATTCCTGAACATCGTTAAATTGGTCTTACTCCACAGTCTTAATGTTTTGTGATCTCAAAATATTTCAAAGTTTTCCAAACTGGAACTTAACCTGATGAGTTTTGTGTATTTTATTAACTGTCTGGTAGGAAATAAATCTATCAAACAAGTACAATATTTTGAAAGTTATTTAGTTTCAGACTTTATTGAACAAGACCTATTACCTATGAAGAACAGATAATTACTAATTTCTTCTTAAAATTAACTCGTATCCATTCCAGATGTAAAAATATTCTGTCAGCCTTCAGTTCAATCCAAACTGCCACTATTAGTTGCAATAAATGTTAGAAAGTCATGTCCCTCTCTAAACATGAAATTAATAGAAACTTACTGAAAATTTAAATACTCTAATATAAAGTTTCTGTCAACAAACGTTTGTGTAAGAAGCTATAATGAATAATTTAATAAGGACAGTTGGTCAATTAATTATATAGATCATGCAAAACTAAAATGTAATTTATAAATTATTTAAGACAATCTTCTATAATAAATTGACTAAAAGTACTTAATGTCATAAAACAGTATACAGATAATTTATGATGATTAGAGTACACTAGTCAATAGTTTGGAATGCTCCCTTGTAATAACAATTTCCATCATAATCCGATAACATCCCATAAGATTTGGTCAGCTTGATAAATTTGGATTAGTTTTAAGACCATGTTCTAAATGAGCCATGCAAATTTTATTCCCATGCT